ATAATGTAGTTAAAAAAAAGTAACTTAAATTCCATTACTTACCTCCTCAAAAGCCCAATCATCAGCCTGGTCATTTGCATCACTGCTTTTTGGTGACCAGATTAACCCCTCTATCATGCCAGTGAACTTGTTCAATCTGTCACCCAAAATAGCTAATTCTCTCCATCCTCTTTGTCCACGCATCATTTCATCCATTCTGGGGAACCAGTATTAGTTATAAGTAGGAAAATCAAAAGAGATGACAATAAAGCGATGAATGGTGGTAGAATCATAGAACAGTGTTTCTGGATAACTAAATTTCCATTTCTTAAATTAGTATAGTTTCAGCAACCAATGTATCTCATAGTAAGTGTTGCCTCATAAGAAGTCATGGGTCACTCAAAGCCTTTGTGTAATCTAATTCCATTAACTCCACCAAGAAAACTTGGGTTTCTGTCAATGTCATAAGAATTCATAAAAGATCTCAACGGAAAGCTTTGTTTCTATAAAATAAACATAATAAATTAAAATAAAAAGAGAAAGTTGGAGACATTACTAACCTGGGGATTCAAATTCACAGAGGAACTTGATAAAAAGGAAAAAAAAAAAAAAAAAAAAAAAAAACCCCTCTAGTTGGAATCATGAAGGGAAAAAAGAGATGAAGAAATATGCATAATTTTTTTCTTTTAAAAAATCTCATTAAAAGCACACCCCTTTGTAACAAGGAAAAATCCAATGATCATGAGAACTAAAAATCTCCTTCCATTCCCTTTTGAAGAACCACCTATTTCTTTCAATCCAGAGGAACCGACATAAATAGGGTAGCATCCACTTGACAGCCCAAACACCCAACAATTTGAGAAATAGAAATAAATACCAACTCTGATTCATAGTCCAATAGTGAGAAATAACCTCAAGTACGCTTTCTGCACAGAAGTTCCTATATCTCCAGCTGCATAAGCTTCATTTTTCTTCACTTGCTGATGTAGGTACTTAGCACAGAACTTCGCAACCACCTTACCTGGATTCTTGAACATCTTGTATAAGTAACCGTATTGAAGTTGAAAATGTTGAAATGTTCTGGATGTGTGTGTGTGTATGGGGTGGGGTGTTGCACAAAATGAAATTACCAAGTACTTGTAGTTATTTAAAGCTTTCTCGATTCATTAATGAAAATAATTCGTACTTGTATTCCAAACTGGGCCTCATACTTTCTTAATTATGAATGTGATTTAGTTTTAATGTGTTCGATAAAATCAAATTTGTTGCTTTTCTTCTAGATTGGATTTCTTTTGAATAGTCCCTTTCATATAGTTATTTAATTTCAGTAGGTCCATCGCTATAAATCTCAATCCTATAATGCTGCAAATAAAAACCGAAGTTAAATTTTCTCAATGCGATCAACTTACTGTCAATAGTATATATGAAACGATATTTTCATTTTTTTTTTTTTTCCAGACACATTACTCATAATTGTAGCATAAGAATCGAACAAGCCACATCCAAAACAGAAGAAAACTTATGCCCCACATATTAAGAAGAATCCATCACTCAAAAGCACACATGCATTTTACCTCCATGGCCATCATAAACGCCAAAGAAGGAAGTGCAAGCATCCAGATCAGGAATTGCAGCATGCTACAAAACAATGAATAGAAAATATCATTGCAACAGAAATGCAAAATTTTGAAAAGAAGAAACTTAATTGAGCTCTAATTAATCAGATAAAGAGTACAGCCATTTCATTGATTACTTACAGCATCTTCCATTGTGGCACGCCATCCTTGCATGGACGATAGTCCAAATCTAAGACGACTATTTTCACCATCTTCAGAGCTCTTCTCAGTTTTTGGATTGCTGAGGTAAATGCCCATTTCGATCTGACATCAAATAGAACGTATATAAACCGTTTACCCTCTCCTCTATAAGTGGAAACGAGGTCAATAATGATCGTCATGCTTAGAATACACTCAGGACAAAGCTTTTGTTAATACATTAACTCTAAAACTGAAAAAAGAACAAGGCCCCAGTGTAATATCAGATTTCCGAGAATGTAGCAGAAGAGCGTGCAAACAAAACTCTGAAACCAATAATTTAAAAAAAAAAATGGTTCAATTCTACGTGCCCATTTCCTGATCGATCTAATAGATGCACTTGCCAACATATAACAAAGAAAATATTATTTGTTATGTGAGACTAAAAATATCTATCAAAGAAAAAAAAAAATGGTGACAGAAGATCACCTATCAACTTCTGTACATCCACTTGCTGGGTCATACACCAAGAGCCTAAGATCAATCCATTAAGATATATATATATATATCAGCATCAAACAAACACTCAGGGAGCAAAACATTTTCCAAGTAAAATATAAAGTACTCATCAAATTTCCTTATCAAAGCTACCAACAGTATATGAGAAGGCGTGAAATGGAATAGAAGAACAAGAACATCTACATTCTCGAGGATCCCAAAATTCAGTTGGATATATTGCAGGAAAATGAGATCCAAATTTCAATAGAAACTTCGATCAACAAGAGAAAATGGAAATTCCTGAATCACTACATACCCAGAAATCCTGACGGCTCAATTACTTGAATTAAGACTAAGAAGCAAACTAATCCAGATAAGTTATTGAAAGCCAGAATCGCGATTAAATAGAAATAAGATTCTCAACACCGGAAAAGTGAAAAATCTGCCAGCAATCCCAATACCGCAGTACGTACTGTTCAAAGTAGAAAATATTCCAAATTCCAGGCAAGCGAGAAAAGTGAGGTGAAAGCAAGCTTTTCTCAGAAATCAATGAAAATCCACGTGAAATCTTGAAAAAAAAGAAGTCACCAATAGAATGAAGAGATGGAACAAACCACGAGAGCAATCAATCGCACAAGATATTGCCAGAAACACACAGCGATGTTCGAAAGTGAGTGTAATCTTCTGAAATCGAATCGAATAAGCTCCAACTGTAGCAATTGTATAAATACAGTCGTTGTCTGGTCTTCGCCTCAGTCGTTTACTATTCTTGGTAAGCTCGTTTCAGAAATTTTCACTTTCTTGTTCAAGCTGGAGGCTATAGTCAACTCAATCAGTCATTTTCGCTCTCGTTTCCCAACCTTACCTTTTTCTCATTCCTTCTCATAGCCATGGCCAGCCAACAACTAGAAATCCACCTTTAAAATCACTCGACTTACTGTAGCACACGGTTCCAATAGTACAAATTACTTGGCTATGGTGGCGAGCCTTCGCTTTGTCGATCGGCCGATGAAGCGAAGGCCTACCCGCGCCGACCTAAGCTCGTAAGCGCGGGCATTTGATGATATAACAGCCGTTGATTCGTATGGATAATAAAATACTCTTCAAATTCAGGTTTAGTTGTTAATTTTTTCTTTAAAAAAGGTTTAGCTGTTAAATTTTTTTAATCAATTTAAATCTTATAATTAATTTATAATACTTTATTTAATTAAATCATACCAAATATTTTACTAATATTGGGTGGGTTTAGACTTTAAATTATGAACAAAAAAAAATCCTTAAAAATATTATTTTTTTTTAAACCATATTAAATATGCATATTATTTATTTATTTATTTTTATTAGCCTCAAAATTCTTAAAATGAAAATTTTTGGGTATAAATGAAATTTACAGTTCATTTTTTAATATAATATAATTTTGAATATTAATATTTTAAAATTTTCGACTCAATTTTGATGAATTGATTGGATATCACCAATTATCTTTATTATTTATTTCAATAAATGAGTGTTATTTGTTTGGCTTATCAAGTTTTTTAGTAAACAAAAATAATTAATGTATTATCCCATGCTCGATGATGGGATTTAATTAATTTATATAAAATTCACCTCAAAATATTTATACTCATATTTTTTTTTATTATAATTAATGTATTATCCCATGCTCGATCGTGGGATTTAATTAATTTATATAAAATTTACCTCAAAATATTTATACTCATATTTTTTTATTTTAATATTTGTTTATTTAGTTCAATTTCATTATTTAATTATTTTAATATATAATATTTTGCATGAAATAAGGTGCAACGTGTCAAATAATTAAATAGTGTTTTAATTTTTAAAAAAATATTCCATTCATTTTTTAATGAGTCACAGAACGTCTAGTTTGTGATTAATCTAAAAAATAATTGGAACATAAATATTTTATAAGATTATTGTATCACAAATCTTTTGTTCCATATTATTATATCTTAAATATAATTATTGAGTTGCACAACAATTTTCTATATATATATATATATATATATATATATATATATATATATATATATATATATTTTTTTTATTTTTGGTGTCAGACAAATATAATAATTATTACGAAAAATAAGAATCTAACATTTTTTTTTTTTTACTTATGAAAGTTGGATAAGATATCAACTATCATCTCAAAAGTCGATGGTTTGATATCCACCCTCTAATTATTAGGCAAAATGTTTTTGGTAGACCACGTAAATACTCATTCAATTTTACCTTTTTTTTTTCACTTTAAAGTTATGAAAAAACGTGGCTTGAAAATATTGACCTTCATCAAAGAAAAGATTAAATTCAAAGGTTTAAAATTTAAATTTTAGTTCTATAATCTCCGAAAACAAAAATCGTATATGATCTCGAGCCATCTTTCTTATTAGAAAATTCATTAATTTTACCTATTTTTTACTCTATAGCTATCAAATCGACTAAGTCACACTCCTTTTCATCTAGCAACGCTATAGAGTATTTAATGGGTAAAGGCGCAAAGGGAAGGAAAGTGGTATAGAATTGACCAATTCAACTAATGGATCAAAGGGTGACGTCTTATCGATAATTATGCTGTCTTTCTAAGAAAGACTATCAAAATTCTCTACCAATTCAGTGGGCACAAAACCATGTTACTAGGAACTATTTGAAAAGCAATTTTTTTTTTTCAAAAATAATTTAAAGTAGAAAATAAAATAGAATTATAATAATTATTAATCGATATTTTAAGGGCACCTACAGCTATATCCAAGAAAAACGATCGAAGTCGACCAATTTAATGGAATAGTAACGTCTCAACATAGGTATTAGTCAACTGGTTAAAATATATATCATCAACCCAAATGTCGGGAACTCCTCAAATACCTGCCCACCCTCCCGACCAACTCATCGAGCTTTTGTTGTACCATTCAGTAGGCAAAAGTTCTGCATTTGACAATAGATGAAAAGGAAGGGTTATTGAGTGGTAAAGCTCGGGCGATTTAAGGGCTCTAAAGTACAACAAGCAATGTATTTGACATCATAATTCAAAATCTAATGTAAAAACTGAAACCTGAATTCCTGTCATTCTCGTGCCACCTGAGACGACTTCGACGGGGAAGCGAGAGAAATCCAAGCTCCTAATTACTTAACAAAGTTGATGGTAGAACTCGAAAAAAGAAGAAATGTACAGCTCAATAAAACGGATCGGTTAAACGTCTTTCGTGACGAAACGAAAATTTTTGATCAAAAACGTAATGGGAAATGAATCCCACATGACCCAATTCACGCAAGTAAATTCTCACATGCTTGGATTTCAACACTTTGAGTTGCCAGAATTCCTTCTCCAGAAGGGCTCGAGTTGAGGATCTTCATAACACTACCAAAAATGGACTTCTGGAAATAGTTATCTTCAAGCTTCTCCAGGATCTCCTTCACGACAGAAAAATCCAAACCCCCGATCAATATTAACTTCCCGAGGGTATCACCAAAAAAGTTTGGCACGTTCGGATAATCGATGCCTATATCATCCATCATGGACCCGTAAAGAAGGCACCCGGTACCGATATCCTTTGCAGTGAAGACATTCTTGTGAAGCAGGTGGTCAAGAAGCTTAACAACTGGGTCTACACATGGTGGAATCTTTTCAAGTGCTATGGTAAGAGATTCTTTAACAACCTCGGGGTGATATGCTGGAGATTTTAGCTCCTCTACACACAGTAGCGCTTCATCGAGAATCCGTACACTGAAGTATTCCTCGAGCAGTGAAACGGTTTTTTTGTGAAGATCAGCAGAATTGGATACAACAGCAGGAGCTGTTGGCTTCTGAGGAGAGGATATGGTGGATGCAACTGGAGGAACTGGTCTAGCATTGTGAGCGATGGGCTGGATTCCAGGCGTGGGACTTGTTCGTGCAGGAGATGCACCACTGCCCTGTAGCAAGGCGCTTGTTTTCCCAGTTATTACACCACCACTTCCCTGAGGTAGATATTTTGAATTAATGGAAGGTGTTTTGCCAATTAATGGCGTCTGGGCACGCTCACCCCTTGGCATTGATCGGGATCTAGGAACCACCTCCCAATCGTCCAAATCAAGTCCAGGCATACCAGGCATTTTCCTCGTTCCAGGAGGCATTCCAGGCATCATACCTCCAAAGCCAGGACGAGCAACAGGAAATCCAGCAGGACTTAGTCCCCCAAGTGCCTCAGCATTACGGCCATTTCTCATCATTGCCATTGAACCGGGACGAAGCCCTAGATTCTTCTCAGCCTCTGAATGAATTTCAGTGATGGTTTTTGCTTTCACCTGTGCCCCAAGAAACAAACCATTAGATTTGCAGATTCATATGCATGGAAAAAAGAAAATCTTTAGAGAAAACCCAAGAACAAATCTCCAAGAATGAATTCAATGGAATCTTTCTGTAACGACCTAGATCCACCGCTAGCAGATATTGTCTTCTTTGGGCTTTCTCTTTCGGGCTTCCCCTCAAGGCTTTAAGGGGAAGGTTTCCACACCCTTATAAATGGTGGTTTGTTCTCCTCGCCAACCAATGTGGGGCATCACAATCCACCCCCTTTTAGGGCCCAGCTTTCTCGCTGGCACTCTTTCCTTCCTCCAATCGATGTGGGACCGCCCCCAAATCCACCCCCTTTTAGGGCCCAGCTTTCTCGCTGGCACTCTTTCCTTCCTCCAATCGATGTGGGACCGCCCCCAAATCCACCCCCTTTGGGCCCAGCGTCCTTACTGGCACACCGCCTCGTGTCTCCCCCCTTCGGGGAACAACGAGAAGGCTGGCACATCGTTCGGTGTCTGGCTCTAATACCATTTGTAACGACCCAGATCCACCGCTAGCAGATATTGCCCTCTTTGGACTTTCCCTTTCGGGCTTCCTCTCAAGGCTTTAAAACGCGTCTGCTAGGGGAAGGTTTTCACACCCTTATGAATGGTGGTTTGTTCTCCTACCCAACCAATGTGGGACATCACACTTTCATTACTAGAAGCTATCAGATACAAGAAAAGAGGAGCAAACAGAGAATATAAGCCCCATCAAATTGATCCTCAGGGGATTTTGGCCCAAAAAAAACATTGAACTTGTCATGATAAATTATTACATAGAAACGTAGCCACCAATATTATCTCAAGGCATACATACAAAACTAGGGAAATGCAGAAAGGCATAACATAAGAGGACCATATAAAGTAACACAAACAAAGAAATTCTAATACAATAAATATTTAACTAAAAGAAAAAGTTTCACCTCTTCACGCCTAGGAACCCAATTATTGGCCCGTAAATCAAGAACATCACGGACCATAAATCTCAACCTAGGTGCTAGTTGAGTGTTTGCAGCGAGCTCCTTCAACCGGCTGAAATATACATCATTGACCCGCCGAGATTTTGGGCTTTCATCCATCTGCTTGCCAATTGTGTTAAAAAACTGACAAATAGCCTCAACATTCTCCTCAGCAGGGCATGTGTTATTGTCGGACCCCAACAGCTCCTGATTTATAAAAAATCGAATTAACAATACAGGCCATTCATAACAAAGAACATTAAGAACTCTAAGCAGACGGGTACTGGTAATTACCAGAACAATATGGTGAACAATCCTTTCAGTCACCATCTTCTGTTTAAGAAGCTCACCTATCAGGCGAATGTTTCCAAGAGTTCGAAGCTTAACCATTCTTTCCTTATCTCTTCTTTCCGTTTCATGCTCAGGATCAGTCAGCCGCCCGGTTTCTGCCCTTATGTGCTCAGCACCTTCAAATGCCTCTTGGCAAATGTTTAAAAGAACACGTTTAAAAGTGATATCTTTCTCTCCAGGAACATCAGATGGGAATGGAGGAAGCTTGTCATTAAGGTCAGAGCACAAAAGTGCATACATAGGGCAAAATGTGGGCTCAAACACGGCCTTCTCAAATAAAAGTGATATAACCTCCTATATTCCATAACTAAAATCATGTTAGTCCATTATCTAACAAAATATCTCAAAGCACAACTAGATGCAATAGTAGGAACCTTCAAAATATCAGCGGACACAATTCCAGAGTCAATCAGTTGACCCTTCAGTATGTCGAACTTTTCTGGAGTCAACTTATTAAGTATACTGTAAAAAACAGAAGAGGAAATATTTTCTTAATTTCCAATATTCCATGATATGTTGTGAAATACTAAACCTGGGGAATGATAGTTACCCTTTCACTGTCTTCAAAACACGTTCCTTTTCTGAGATATTACCTCTTCTAACTGACCAAGGAACGTCGGCCTTGATGAGGGCAGGTGAAGTACCAACCTATTTGCGCAGGAAAAAAAAAACAATGCCAGGTCAGCAGATTGAGAAAGGAGCTCATTTTAGAACTTATGTCAAACGTAAAGCTTGTGTGAATAGAATAGATGGATGACCCCATAATAACCCTTCACATGTAAAATTTAAAGAGAGATGAACCATAACAATTATGAGTATATAATAACAAAATTGATATAACCTCAGATGGATTAAGTAAAATTGATCAGAAATTAATACCCCTTGGTTACCAGAAGCTTGACTCCTATTATTAGAGTCATGCAACCTCGACTGAGATTGACCTGATAAATCCTTATCCTCACGAATTGCATCCCAAGATCCTTCCTCTGCAGAGGCAGGTAACTGCCCAGATCGACCACGCCAATCTCGATTGTCTGGCTCAAAGTAACGACCTTGAGATTGTGATTGCTGCTGAAGAAAATAGGAACATATGAGTAATTAAAGTTCAACAAGGTTGTATGTGTGGGTGTGTCTGTATGGAAGGAAGAATGTAAAGGAATAGTTCAGGCATGATTATGATTACAGCACAGTAACTTAATGTTCTGAGTCATGAACTGATCCATACCAAAAACACAGAAAAGAACATTTTTCCTTCTGTTCCAAAATGGATGTTATTGATCACAAAAATATTAAACATACAATGTTTTCAGCACGAGCCCATGTTTGATCCTCCCCAAAAATCTCTGTCTCGACTTCTAATTTGACCTTCAAGATATCCTCAGGGACTGTTGCAACCTGAGAAAAAAATATGTTAATCGACAATCTATACATGTGGTGAATGTATATGATGATAAATATTATCCCAGCAATACCACTGTGTGAACTAAATATGACATAATAAAGAAAAGGGTTATTTTTCTTTCCACCAACAAAAAGCATTAGCCAATTAAACTAAATAAGCGTTCGGTACAGGTAAATGAACAAGTACCTCTCTAAGCTGCAGAATCTGGTCTCGAGTGTACTGGATTCGCTCACGACCTTCAAACCGTAGATCTCCAGTCTAAAACAAGTACACAGATATAATTATTAGACGAGATGTATTAAAACACATCATAAAAGTTGTACAATTGATCTAGAATAAGGGATTACTTAGAACTATAACAAAAAGTGGACTACAAGGCATCCCTAAATGTAGATAGAGAATTCTCACGACAGACTTTAATTAATAATCAAAAGTTCCTGCAACAACTTAAGGACCCCTCAACTAATCTGAAAAAAATGGCCTAACTTTATATTTACAACTTAAGGATCCCTCATAAAATGGTTATCATCGTGTTTTGAATGCATGACCCAAAGGCATAGATATACGACTTGTATATACATGCAAACATACACAGAATTACAGTCCATAGAGACAAAAAAAAAAATGGGCTCTGGGCTACTTCATTAACATAATAAACTTCTGCGGATTGAAATCAATGCCCCATATCCAATTAAATACTAATTTCCAGAAATTTTGTAATTCAATATGTAATGTAGGTTCTTTATGGGCATCGTTAACTCGAGCTATGCCCACCTAAAATCCTACATAATATTCTATGTCCATATTTACATCAGGTACACGTACTTGAGTGCCCTGGCAAGAATTAGGACAACATCACTTTATAGAAGAAATCAAGAAATCACGATTAACATGAATGCTAGAAGCTATAAGCTATTATCAACTAAAAATCTTTAACAAGAAAAATACAAAACGACGTCAACCAATACCCAAGGCCAACTAAACATTCATCAAATTTTACAATACCCGTTGATTCAATTGACACTTAGAGCAGGAAAATTTAAAAACAAGTGACGTGAACAAAGTTAAGGCAAAACCCAGAGAAAACAACGTCAAAACGGGAAAAAGATAACACTTTGATACATTCTAGATCTATATAAACAAATCCACACAATAAAAAGAACATAAATACACCACGAAAGCCCCAAAATCATCCATACGCACACACACATCAGGCAAACCATATCCCTAACGCTGTACGGATAATAAACCGACCTTAAGGGTTAACGTAACGCCGCCATGAGGACGAAGCGACGAAGAATCGGCAGAGGATGAATCGAAGCGAGTAGTAGCAAATCTGCTTCCACGAACGCCACCGCCACCACCTGGTCTCAAACTTATCACCGACTTATCTTCCTGCATAACTCGACCGACGAATTCGTTGTTGAGCGTCAAAGAGAGGGATTAGGAGAGAGAGAAAGAGAGATTAAGACAGAAAGAATCGTTGATGGCGGAGAAAACGGAGAGGATTGAGATGGAGGATGTTCGATTGTTGTCGACAGATAGAGACAGAGTCGGGATTCTATCTCTACCTGCGTCTCTCTCTGAATCTCTTCGCAGCTGCAAAGAGAAAAATGGGGTGAGTGAGGAGAAACGCGAGCTCCAAATAAACCCTTATTCTTGCCGTTATTCCCTTTTCTAATTAATCCATTTCTTTTTCTTTTCGGTAATTAATTTTATAACAATTAAAATCTAATCCATTCCGTCTCTTTCATTGTTATTCCCTGAAAGCCGATTCCAAATTCAATTAAATACTTAAAAATTAAAAAAAAAAATTACAGTAGTTAATTGTGGGCCGGTGGCCTAATCGGTTTATTCTGGCCCAATAGAATTCTCAGAAAATGGGCCTGGATATTGCTTGTACATGGTCCGGATTGGGTTGGGTTAAACGATTTTTTTGACCTCACCAAAAGTTCGGGTTGGTTAGATTGGTAACTCAATCCAACTGAAAATTTTCACAAACCCAACCCCAAAAATCAATTTATAATTATTGAAAAAAAATAATAAAATAAAAAAATCAATCAAGAACCATAAGCGAAAATAGTAACATATTAACATAGTTTAACATTGTTATAAAACTAAAAACAACTAAAACATCAACATTTATGTATGGTATAGTTGACTTTTGTCTAACCCAACCCTTATAGTTCGGGTTGGGTTGGTCCGGGTTGTTGGTGCACATATATTTGACTTTTACGCATGGTATTATATGGGCCGGTGGCTTAATCGGTTTATTCTGGCCCAATAGAACTTTCAGAAAATGGGCCTGGATATTGTTTCGTGGGCTTGATTGTGCTAGCCCAAATAGATATAGATGAATTTTACGAAGAGCATATGGGCCTAATCGGTTTATTCTGGCCCAATATAATTTCGAGAAAATGGGCCTGGCCCATATAGATATAGTTGACTTTTGCAGCAAATAATTCATTGCAAATGCATGGACATTTCTTTTCCCATTTTTGGAAGGAGTACAAATGCAAAACTGTCCACACCTATATCCAAGCGTTTGAAAGCTTCCAAATTCTAAGTTTGGTGCCTAAAATTGGTGTCATTAATAATTTTCTTTATTTAAGTTAATTGAACCAAATTTACCTTATTTTTCAAAATAACAAAAATTAGTGAAAAAATAAATTAAAGTTTAAAATTTTCATTATAAACTTTTAATTCTATTACAATTTCAATAAAAAAAAAAAAAAACTTTTAAATAACATATTACAATTTATAAACTTGAAATTTTTGAAATAATATTATTCGTGTTAAATGTGTTGGATGATAAGAGTATCATATTGGCTGATTTAGACAATGATCATGAGTTTATAAACAAAAAATACTCTCTCCATTTTTATGAAGCCCAAAATAAACTATGAGAACTTATACTCAAAATTGACAATATCATACTATTGTGAAGAGTCGTGTTCATCTAACATGATATCAGAGTCATGCCAATAGATTGGTAAATTCTCAAATGTTGAACAAATGACTCCAAAAGAAAGAGTCGAGTCTCGATTAAGGGGAGGCCTACTTTGTTCGTAGGGAGGTGGTTAGAAGATGAAAGTCCCACATCTACTAATTTAGGGAATGATTGTGTTTATAAACAAAAAATACTCTGTCTATTGGTACCATTGTGAAGAGTCTGTTCGTCTAATAAATCTTGGCCTTCTATCTCAGTCCTTATTCTCGAGCCTCCGACCTCATAACTAATGGGAGGAATTTTTCTGTCTTATTTGAGGAGAATTTTCAGGAGTCTCCACATGTGAACCATCTCTATTAATATCAAATACATAACATTTAAAGAGAAAAACTACATTAGATCTTAAGATTTTTTTTGGTATAAATTGTGAATTTTGCAAAATTATTTATCGTTTAATTTATATGTTGAAAGATTAACGATATGAAAATTAATTATACAATAACACGTGTAAAATCATTTCCCACGTTTAAAATCCAATTCCCAACCCACCACATTCACAGAGCTTTCATGTCTTTCTCCGCCACTTTCTCGTCTCCTTGCAATGTCTATTCACAAACCAGAACAGGTTTCTGCTATTTCCTTGCTTCGAGGCCTTCCATGGCGGCTACTTCAATTCCCTCCGTCAAAACCTCGCTCGCCGCTTCAAAGTCAGCTTTTATGCGCAATGATTTGACTCTCCAGTCGTCATCTTCTCGCGGTGTTTTCTCGAAATCTCAAATTTCTGGTGTAACTGCCAGAGCGGCGTCGGAGAAAAGTATTTATGATTTCACTGTTAAGGTGCTTTTCTGTTTACTCATAACTCTTTTTCGTCTGATCGGTAATTCTTCAATGTTGTTCATCGGGAGTGGCGGATTATGGTTTGGCTACTGTTTTGTTTGTCTGTGCATATTTTAAAATTGTTGTGAAATTCGTTTGAAGAGTAAAATTTAACTGTGGTGATATTCACTTCAGCAAGCATTGATGCTGGTGATAATTCTGAATCAGAGCGATTAGAGAATTTCAAAATGGATTTTGTTTGAATGTTTGCGACGCGTAAGGACTGTTCTCTGGTGCAGGATATTGATGGCAAAGATGTTTCTCTGAACAATTTCAAAGGGAAGGTTCTTCTGATAGTAAACGTTGCATCTAGATGGTATTCAACCCTAGCTAACTTTGTTTAGGCTCAATACTTAGCTTTAAACTATGCAACATGATTTTCCTGAAGATTATCTAGAATTTGTATGTTGATCATTTCATTGAAGATTTATCTTGTTAATGACAGTGGTTTCGCGACTGGAAATTACACAGAACTGTCACACTTGTATGAGAAGTACAAAACTCAAGGTATGGAAGTGTTTTCGTTAGGGCTTTGCAGTATATATTGTCACTCCAAAGAACACCCGACACTATTCCAGCCAATCTGACATAGCTTTGTTTTTCCATCAATGGCTGCCTTTCTTTTGCTTATAAGATAGTTACTGCACCGGGGACAGGATTGCTTAGCCTAATTTTGGGTCAATATGCTTCAATAAGTTGTTACACCAATATCCATTTTGAGTTCGTTTCTATCTAAGCGTTTCTAGAATGAAAAATGATATCAACTTTGCTAGGCTGGACATATCCATAGCGAATGTATGAACCTTTCTTGTTACTACATGTACTATTCCAAGAGCTTGTAAGAACGCATAATAATAGCATCCATGTAGATTATGTATTTTGGAGCTCGGAGTCTAATGATACCTGACTAGTTTGTAGTGTAGTTAGAAGTTTCGGGCTATCGGTGTCTAGTTAAGAGAATCAGTTTCTACTTGGTGTATACTGCATATACTTTCGGGCTGTGCGCAATTTACACATGTTATTTGGTTAACTTTCACTTATATCTAAATTTATCACAATCTCTGTGTGTTTGTTTGGGAGAGAAGGATTTGAGATTTTGGCTTTTCCTTGCAACCAATTTGGAGGCCAAGAACCTGGGTCCAACCCAGAGATCAAGCAGTTCGCCTGCTCAAGATTCAAAGCAGAGTTCCCAATATTTGACAAGGTACACCAACTGCACGTATTGTCACGGAACGCTATATAAGGTAAACTTGGCAAAATAGTAATACAATTGTTGCTGCACATCAGGTTGATGTCAATGGTCCAAACACTGCCCCATTTTATCAGTTTCTCAAATCAAGTGCTGGAGGATTCTTAGGCGGTTTTATCAAGTGGAACTTCGAGAAATTTTTGTTGGACAAAAATGGTAATGTCATTGAGAGATACCCACCAACGACATCCCCTCTTCAAATTGAGGTATGACTGATTTTTCCCCCTTTTTGGGGACCTTATGAATTTCGTTGCATTAGTTTTTGCGCCCAAACCTACCTCTAGCATATATGGGCCTTCCGTTTAGACATTATCCGTCTGTTAGCTAGAGAGAGGTTTCTACCCCTTTTAAAAAATGTTTCGTTCTCTTCTCCAACCGATGCAGGATCTCACAATCCACCTTCCTTCGGGACCCAAGATCTTTGCTAGCACTCATTCCCCTCTTCAATCGATGTGGGATCTCATAGTGTTGATCATCTCTCACCATTTAACTTTTTCAATGCATATTTCCCAAGTCGCCAACTCATAAAGAATCCGTCCTTCCTCCCCTAATATTTTGCATACATTTATAAGAAACGTCCCCCAATTCTGAGCCGAATACCTAAATATGTTTTCATTTCTTGTTTGTCACGGGCCATGCATCCACAGCCAACCAGGCTAACCATGATTGAAAAGAAAGTGATTATCAGTTGAAAACACTTCCATAAACTTTAGCTATTCTGATTACGTTTTCTGTTTTTCAGAAAGATATTCAAAGGCTTGTAGCCGCCTAAAATCTAGAGCTGAAGAAGTTTAAATTGCTTTTACCATCATAGAGGCTCATCCAATGCGAGTTAACCTTTGAGTATGTACATTTCTTTTTCTATAGTGAGGAACCCTATTTATTATTATAGTGAGGTATTTTGAGAATTACAAATATTAGTGTGGGATGTATGGATGAGAGCACAACTCAGGTAAAATAAATGTCTTGTGAGAATATTTTAGGCTTTTTTTTTACGGCCTAATCTCCCAGGCATGTGTTTTTTCTAACCCTTGCTAGACCTTTTTTGTTATAATTATTCTCCACTATCTTTTCCCTTTTGCCTTCTCTATGCTCTCGTCCTGCCATTTCTTTTAATTCCCGTCCTAATGCCACCAAGGGCGTCGATGATTTAAATTCAGATGCCAGAGAGGGTAGGGGCAGAACACCCACCATGGTCACTGTTTAGGGTTTAGGGTTTAGGGTTTCAGGTTGGGGCAGAACACCCACCATTGAGAAAGTCCATTTTCACTCCATTTATTGATGAGAAGAAAGCGAGAGCAAAAGAGTTATTTAGACCACAAAAATTCTGCAAATGAAACTCATCTAATCTTTCAAGTATCATTTGATTTTTTTTTTTTTTTTTAAATTAAGTTTATAAATACTTGTTTTGATATCTAAAAAAGTAAAATTGTTTTTGTTTATTAAAGATTAACAAAAATTTTAGATGAAAATTATTAATATTTTGTTTAAAAAATAATCTTAAATTTAAAAAAAATATATTAATAACCTTCAAATTTTTAAAAAAATTTAAAAATACTTTGCCACCAATAATATATTTAACTTTTAACTTCATAAAAAAAGTCTTAAAAAGATTTAAGACTAATATGTTAATATATATATATACGAAAACAACCATACTTCATAGATTAAATTTGTTATAAAAGTTTAAAAGTTGGTATTAATATAACTTTTAATAACATTATTCTTTTTTAAAACTAAAACTAATGTTATAGTTAATTTTGATATTTTTTAAAAGTTGGTATTTTTTAGATTTTTTTTTTTTAATTTAAAAGTATTTTTTGAAAGAAAGTATAAAGGTTAAAGTAATTTTTATTAATTTAGCCTAACTATTTTTTTTTAAGAAAAAATGGAAAAGCATGCAGAGAAATAATAAGAAAATAATTATAATTTAAAAATAAGATTGAAAGAGGAACGCTTCTATTGTGAACTAATCTTATAACTGCACATTTATGAAGCCAAAGCCAAAAACGTTTGATACCTGTCAATGCTTCTATTGCGAACGAAGCTCTCTTAGTAACCACTTCTTACGCAGCATTGCATCTGAAGCCAAAAATGCTTCGATCATATTCAATACAAAGCCTGAACGTTATGGGAAGAAAAAAAGAAAAAAAAAAAAAAGGCTTACAGTCGAAGAACGACATTCTCCGACGGCGAAGAGAAAAACAGAGAGAAGAAATGCAAGAAATGATTTCAACGGAAAGGCATTGAGATGAGGAGTTAAGAAGCTTTTTACCTCTGTTACGTCTCTACCGAGAAGCGGGAACTGCAAAGAGTTTCGCCAAACCTAATCCGAGATAAGAGCGAAAAACTCCAGAGCTGTTAGGCCACAGAGCCAACTTCTGCCTCTCGCCTCACTTTATATTTAAATACATCTCAGGGCTTCAAATTAGATGGGCCGGGCCCATTTAGACCACAGTTCTCAGTGCTTCAAATTAGATGTGCCGGGCCCATTTAGACCACAGTTCTCAGTGCTTCAAATTAGATGTGCCGGGCCCATTTCGACCACAGTTCTCAGGGCTTCAAATTAGCTGGGCCGAGCCCATTTATACCACAGTGACCTGAAAAATGTATATTTACAGGCCAAATTTACCTTAGGCCAACATTATTTTACAAATTATGGTCGCATCACATTTTTCTTTTTTATTTAATGAAAATGTTTTCAAAATAATAGTTTGGAAACAAATTTAAAATTTTCAAAAAAAAGTACAAATTTTAAATTTAGTAATATGATATTTTGTACAAATTTAACCCATTTTGTGCATGGAATCGCTGGGGAAATAAAATTCAATTTTTTGGATTAATTACGTCATATTTATGATTTCTCCTCTTAGGAATATTGTTTAAAAAAAAAACAAAATTAATACTACTTATAATATAATCTAAGGTTTAGAAATTTTATTTGAACGTTAATGCAAAAGACGTAATAATTAAAAAATCAAAAATATATTAATCAAAGACTATGGATGGTTTTACCAGTAAGTCTCATTCTACTACCAGAAACTAGCTGGGGAAAAAAAACATAACACTGAGTGTACCATAAAAATAATAGCTGTGCCTTCAGCAGCACATTGTTCTTGATCAAACACAATCTATAATCCATGCAGGCGTAATACAAAGAGATATCATCATGTTAATGCACAACACGAGCAATCTGCTTGCGAAATTCGATCATCAACAGGCAGATCCATGTTTTCCTCTGTTAGTTTCACAGGAAGTCATGTGCATCTTAACGAAGAGGAAAGCCACCACCCGAAAATTCGACCTCCTGAAAAGGAAGACCGTGAGTCTTTAGCAATGCTACAATGGATTGAAGAACTAATATCATAGAGATTATGTTCCAAGATGCTGCCACTGATAAAAATCTGTGCTACCTTTCAAGTCCGAAAGGTTCTTTTTTTTTTTGTTTTTCCTTTTCTTCCCCTCGTCTAAGTCCCCAAGATGCAAAACTTTTACCATGAGGACGACCATTTATGAGGCTCAAGAAGTTCGCCGAGGAGATAAACACCCTTGTCCATGTTCTCATACCTTAGTTTGAAGCCTTTGCCAGCAAGGGATTTGATCAAGAAAGGCTAATGCCTAAACCGGTTAAGTTATGCTCACGTTGGCTTTTCCCTTCTCCTATTTTCTCCCATCGAACCTAACTAAATAACGGTACGCAATCTAGCTTACTACCGCTAACCTTTCCACTGCCAATCATTACTAATCGCAAGTCGTTCACATTAAAATCCCTTTAAACTCTCCTAGACAAAGTATACAAAATAGATGGCCTAGAAATCCTATCAACCAAACCAATTGATGAATATTGCTTCTTGATTATTAGCAGAACTTGCATCCTAAGAGAAACGAAAGCATGGGGATTTTTTCCCCATACTTTCGTGGATGTCCAAGCATTCCTACCTTACCTAATTTCGCACCACACAAAAGCTAATCTGATAGGATTTAGATTCGAGTAACTAATAGAATATTAATACTATTAATATACGATCATCAAGATTTAAAGTCATCGACTTCAAGATGACTGAATACAGAGAACTCTCCCATTTGACTACCATGACTACTAGTTAAGCACAAGATTTGGAACCAAGAATTACTGAAACATGAAGCCCAACAAGATAAATATAACAAATTCCATATATCATTTCTGAAAGCTTTGAGAAGTTCAGGTGACATGCACAAGCACAGCACGTGCCTGAGAAAAGGACGTAAATCATATTAGGATACGAGTAAATTCTGACCTGAGCAGGTGGCAGAGATGAAACCCAGTCTGATATATGAGTTGGCAAAAGCCCCAATGTGTTAAGCTGCAAAAGCCACATTCGAAATACGGGAAAATTAAGCAGTGATCACCAAATGCTAGAGAGATGCTAAGAACTTATAAGGGATTAAGTGATAAAAACATAAGACAACAACAAAAATAATAATAATAAGAAAACTCACCTTCCAAACACCTAATGCTAATCCTCCAAGGTTAAGGGCAATAAACAGCAACTTCGGTCCAAGAAGATCTACTTTACTGTCCTTGTAAGGCTCAAAAACTGCAGTGAGAAGATATATCAATAAGCTAAACCTACTAGAATCAAATTGCCAACATCGATAAATTCTATTATTTTTCCTAGTTCACAAATATGTATCTTATATAACGATTCTACAAACATAACAGTCAGAATTAAGCTTAACATTTTTCCGAATCTGCTGATAAAAGAAACTTGATCAAGAACAAAGAACTTAGAAGGTCCAAACCACCAAAAAAATGAAACAAGAAACATGATTATTCTCCTAAAAATGCCTCTTATGTAGAATACACTAATAAGGAGACTCGGGTCATTGGAAGATCTCTTAAAAGCCAGCTTAGCACTAACAAACATGAAGTAAAGTTGGCAAAAAAATGGATATTAATCCTACCCTTTCCAACGCCTTGCAGGGCACTTATGGGCTGCCAAAGAGCTGAAAATGTGATACCAATGCTAAATAAATGAACAGTGCTTCCAGCCATCCACATCATGAAGCCCATCATGAACAAATTCTTCAAAGGCGCCTGTGCCACTTCCCAAGCTTTCTGCTCATATATTGTAAGGTTGGTACTTCATTTGACAATAAAATTCTTGATGGTAAAGAACCAACATGAGAACAAAGACGCAGATTAAACATCATGGAAGGAAGATTCAGAACCAGAGTCTTCGTTAATAAACACTTGGAACTATAAAAACGATTCACATGGACAGAAATTCTTCACAAGAAAATAAAAACGATTAGTGGTTAAAATAGAGTTGAAATACTTAGAACCAAATTTCAAGACCTTCATCTTACGAACTTTTTTCTTTTGTAAAACAACATGTGTGATTTTCACCTTGGAGAGTTGTTTGAATTTTCTCCAACAGCTAAACGGCTTACAGATTCGACAAAGAATTTTCCAACGGAAATGCTTAAGAAGGTGAGAGATTGCACTCAACTCACGAAATTCCGTCATTAAGCAATCAAACAAAAAGCACAAGGTTTCCACTAATATGCAATCTCGCCACCGAAATCCTCTAAAACGGTAATCGATAGTTTCTCGCTTCAAAACTCGCTAATCCCGCCTAAGAACTACCGCTCAGCGAGATACCGAAAAATTAAGCACGAACAATCACAAAACACAATCGAATAGACAAAAACCAGAAAACGAAAACCCTAATCGACCAAAACAATAGAATTCCGAGTAACACCTGTGCCTTCCAATTGGATTCGGCGTCCTTCTTCTGGCGGCTGAGAGTCGAATCGTCCTGATCTTGAGAAGCACGATTGAAACCGGGAGGATCAGGAATATCGCGAGTCGAATTCGACGACGAATTGTCGGTGAAATCGACGGCCCATCGCCGACCGTCAACCATCAAACCTTTGCCCTTCTCCATTCAGAATAAAATTTTCGGATTTTTCGATGGTGGAGTTGAAGTTAAACTCGCTTAGTCGCTTCGGTAGTTTAAGATTCAGATCCTTGTGCTCTGCTTTTCTCTAATTATATTTATATTTCAACGAGATTGATCTTTTTTTTTTCTTACTTATAAAATTATAATTAATTAAATATTTTTCGAAAGCTAGAATATACTGAGCTTGCTTTAATATTGCTTATCTTAATAAAACATGTATTCTTTCATTTAAATTATCATATTCAACAATATAAATAACGTTCAAGATGGTATTTTTTTTTTTTTTTTTTGTAATTATTATTAAGCTTACAAATTTTATATGTGCATATATTGGTGAAAATACCGCAGTTAATAAAGGATTGTTTTTACCAAAAATTCTTATCGAATTTTGAAATGTAGTCACTACAAGAGAGCCACCGAAAATAATGATCTACATAAAAGTGATGCATAACCCATACTGAAAGAAAATAATGATCCACATAAAAATGATGCATAACTCAATCCATCATACTTACATGCATCATTAGCGGAAACTAATAGTGAGATGGATGCAAAACCTGAAATGTTAATGGATGAAATTTAAAAAAATAATAAAATTTATAATTCTTACCGTATATTTTCAATGAATACTCAAATTTTTAAATTTTATAGAATGAAAATTTTAAACTTTAATTTATATTAATTCATTCCAAGCAACTTAGAATGCTAGTAAACTCATTAATTTCTTTCAATCATGTTAATTTTTTTAATAGATTAAATAACTTTATCAAAACTAAAAAAAAAATCTTGAAATATTTACAATTTCCCTCTAAAACCCAGTATTATATACTCATACGTCTCATGTTTCAAAGTAGTTTCCACCAGCTCTTTCAGTGTCTCCCAGTATTATATTATACCAAATCTATGTACACCCTCCTCATCTTCAAAGGCACTGGCTGCCTCCAGCAGAGATCTTGTCTGAAAAATTCACTATGAAAAATCCAGCAAATACCTGAATAGAAAGCAGCAGAACATAGAGCTAAGAACTTCCCGTCCTGCCCGCTTCTGTATCGAATGCTCGAATACAAATACGATATCCTAGAATTTAGATAAGATGGCATAATATATGAATATCGGAGTGGAGATCAAACCATCGAGCTTTGGGATAGTAACAGATTCCTTAACCTATGAGTACATTCAGATGCAAACTAAACATATCCAAAATACCGACTAAATAGACAACAGATGAGCGTTTACCTGAACACAACCTACAATGTAGAGGGTGGAGTAGCGACGACCGTGTAATACTATGTCGGCCAGCATAGCAAGGGGAATTGTCAATGACATGCCCAGGTTAGAAACTAATGGAGAAGTCCAAATCACAGAGAGGGCCCTGCAAGGGCAAAACAGTTTCTCCACGTATGTAATTCAAGACAATCACATAGCATCAACAAGTGTAAAATGAATATTTTGGGGAATAAAGAGAGCAAAATTTCATTCAGTTGTCATGAAGAGGGCTATGTGGTCAACCCAAAAAATATATAGTATTCTCGACATACCAAAAGTAATCGGATAGAACGTTCCCAACGAAGCCATTCAAAACCACGCTTTCGGTGATGGATTTTGAGGGAGGAAACTTGAAAGGAGGTTCAATGCCCATAGCAGTTAGAGGCCAAACTACAGAGTGACTTTAATAGTAAGAACAATGCAGTTAAAGGCAGCAACAACATTGTCTTGGTTAATTCTATCATTTACAATTTCACATGTACATTTAATGGAAAAGGCACAACGAAACTAAAACAGAACCAAATCATCAAATTGACTTGATAAACATTCACCAAACACTACTTACCAAGCCACCAAAGACCCACTATGGTAAATAGACCAACATATCCAAAGAACTTCTGCACATCAATCTTGTCTCCTCCTGATCCAGCTAATTTCTTGAGCAGCACTATACCAATCACACAATTCAATAATTACCAAGTAAAACATTTGAATCCTCAACAAAAACAGTTACTAGTTAGGCTTAGAATGCCATACCAGTAAATAATCCATAGATTGCTGCGGAAAGAAGACAAAAAATGTCCCCGGTGATGGTTCTCCCTCGAGACCTCACCAATAAAGGAAGAAAAGACAGTAAGTTACACCATCAACAGCTGGTTATCTAGAAACAATGTAAAATGTAAGATAATAGAGCTCAAGGCACGGGCCAGACGATAAGGGATTAAATGTTCAGGGATAGTTCCTCACAAGTGTAACTAAAGCTCTATAATGAAAATGAATCATACTTGCCTACTTACTAGTGGTAAGAAGAAGCTCCTGTTTACTTTCTAATGTGACATTTTTATTGGCTCAAAAATTTTAGTGAGCTCGACATATCAATTAAATAAAAATAGAAATTAGCAAATAAAAATATGTCACACCAGAAAGTAGGAACTTTAGACAAACATTATTTGATGAAAATTTCATCAAAGTCTCCTCGTGGGTAGTGGCTGAGGCCCAATACATCGTGAGTGTGTGTGTGTGTGCGCGCATGTGTGTATTGCATATATGACTCAGGGCTGGGCTCTTGGCCAAAAGAAAAGTCATATGCGATTGCTTCATCTTAAATATGAAATGAAGATTATTTAAACTACGGTAATCAATTGTAAAACTTACTCAGAGATGACTGGGAACCCATTAGTTGCCCAAGTTTTTCCCAGGGTTGTCATGACAACCCCAGCCATACTAATGAAAACAGCAACCACCTTGGTAATGGTTATGGATTCTTGTCCAACAAGAGCTCCAAACAGCAGGGCAAAAAGGCCTGATGTGGAATTTAAGATGGTTGCTGTAGCAACACTCGTGTTTGCCAGGGCCGAGTTCGAGAAGTACTGTGAAAGTCTCAAACAAATTTATCAAAGTGGCATTGCAGATAAATGAGATCTTAAAGTTAACAATCAATGATAACCAATGAACTCAATAAATATTTATATAGTACCTCTTTTTTTTCTTTGGTTACTTTTTCACTTTTAGAAAACATTCTTAAAATCTTGGTCCAATTTTATAATCAGAAAACAATAACTTTTATCACTTTTCAAATTCTAGCAATGATCTCAAAAATGTTTTTGAGCGAGGATTAGAACAGCCTGAACCTCAAAACCAAAACATTATCAAATAGGACCTTTTGTTTGGTTAAAAAAAACATGTAATCTAATAATTTAGTCCTTCCTTGAACTCTAGTTTGTAACAATTTAATTTTTGTACTTTACTATATAACAATTTATACTATAATTTTGTAACAATTTAGTCTCTATTGTGAAAACTATTGTTAAGATTTAATGGAATATCTTGCCAAACATATTAGAGATCAAATGTGTTAAAACTAGAAAACTAAGTCGTTAAACTCTTATTTCTTTTCATGGATTTTTCACAGTACGGATTAAATTAATACAATTTCTAAAGTGCATGGACTAAATAGTACATACTAAAGTTAAAAAAATTAAATGTCACCAATTTGACAATTCATAGACTAAATTGTTATTTTCACGAAAGTTCAAAAACCAAAGTGTTGTTTAACTACATTTATTAATTACAAATGAACGTAAGCTACAAATATCAACCACATTTATAATCAGCTAAAAGAACATGAAGTAGACAATGTTAAACAACAAAATCAGCAAAGTCAACAAACAAAAACAGTTTAGAACTGTGTACCTCAGTAGTGAACCATAAGGGAGTAAGGTAAAGGCTGCGTTCAATGATTTCCCATGTACTAACTTTATGATGTGATTCAAAATTAGACATCAAAGGCTGTCCCTCTTCTCTTTCACTCAAATCTTTATCACTAGTTAAGCAGCTTTTCAAGCCTTCATCAAAGTTATAATGTATTTCATTAAATTTCAAAGGAACATCAAGTCCAATTGAAGAGCTTGGAACAGAGCCATCATTTTCATGGTGGTCATTGAGTAAATCTGGGTTTAATAAGCTGTAAACCAAATCTTTGACAACTGCCACTGGTAAATATACCACCATGAGAGACACCCCTAAATAAGAGAGTGCAAAAGGCTGTTTATATTCAGTGAAGATTCTCTGCACAAACAAGTATTGGTAAGTTGTAGTTTTCCCAAATTCTAAGAATGTACACAAAGCTTGTGACTGTCTTTCTTAAAAATGGGCAGTGTTCTAAGATGAAGCGTTTAACACATTTTCTTCGAAACGTGCTTATATAATAAGCATTTCACTTAAAAACACTTAAGCAAATTTATTGGTGATTTAACATGATATTACAGTAACTTAAACCTCTACAATTCATATTAAGATTTCGCATATTTCTCAATCAAATTAATACCCAAGCTACAAGTCAATAGAAAGGTTAAGAATATACATAAAAGAATAAATGTACCATAACTATTAGCTAATGCTTAAATTTAATAACAGTAATTTAACACAACACTAGAGCAATTTGAACCCCTTATTTCACTCGATATGTCGAGTTTAGTAGTGAATTAACCTAGTATTAAAGCAGTTCCAACCTATTTTACTGATAGTTCACAAGAATTCGAAAATCAAAGTTCAACTTGCTTCAACACATACAAAATATTTAAAATTAAAAGCAAAAGAACATGGCAAATGTCTAAACGAACACAAGGCAAAGCAAAAAGAACAATCAAATAAACATAGTTGAACAACAATGGCATCCACGTCCAAATCATCATGTTGGTTCATAATTTTCCCAAACATGTAACAGACAAACATTCACCGCACTGTTCTCTCCATGCATGTTAAAGAGAATCCAATATTCGACGTGATTAACGTTCTTAAACCGAATTAACGAAACAATCAATTCCAAACAAAAACAACAATAAATCCTTAACAAATCCAAAGAAAGCAGAACAAACCTGAGTAATTTCCGCGGAAGCAACCCATATAAGAACTGCCATACAAATCAATCCCAAACCAAACTTATACCTCAAGCCCATTTCCCGACCAACGACAACCCCGCTCAAATTCGAACCGGAAAGCTCGATTTCGGCTAAGAATTGATAAACATCATGAGAGCTAGCCTCTTTGACCTCGAGAACCAGTTGTTAATTTGAGGAGGTTGTTTTTGTTTGTTTTTCTTGGCGGTAATTGGATCGACAGAGAAATTGGCTCGTCAATTGAGAAAGGTGCTCAGAAACGAGCTGCTGTTTGCCGAGAAAGTGCATTGGAATTTAGAAGGTTTTGGATTTGGCATCAGTATAATGAATGTAGTCTGGTTTTTCGGAAATGCTTTGTGAAGATGACAGTTTGTTGAGCGTTCAGTGGGTTTTGTGACAGAGCAGCAGCGCGCGCTCGACAAATATGGCACGCGTGTGCGCGCCAAAGGGAAAATAAATTTAGGATAAATGAATAAAAATGTTTAAAAAATATTTCTAATTTTTTACAATTACCAATAATACTTTTATCAGATATGGGAAGGAAATAAATTTCAGAGTGTTCTAAGAGGATTTCTGATCTCAAACGTCAAACAGAGACTCACATTCTCTGTTATTATCATTGTTTGAATCCATTTTCATGGAAAATTTTAATCAAATGTTTTATAAAAAATCAAAATGCTCACTAGAATCAGAATTTCGTAAATAAAGAGAAATTGCAGGATGATCAAATTTCCGAAAACTTCAACCTGAAAATTATCTAGTCCATTCTCAGAACAACAATATCTATACTGCGAAATGAACAATTTAAAGTTAGGAACTCTAACAAATTGTTGATTAGTACAGAGAAATATGCTGACAGACGAGAGAAGGGGACGATTCTACAATAAGCTCAAATAGAAGAATGAAATAACTCTCCATTAAGCTCAAGATCTAGTACTTCCTACTCAAAGCAAACAGTGCCTCCCCTAAAAAATGAACTATGTTGCACTAACTCTGTCAGGACAGATTATTTGTTCTTATGCTGTTGAGTGAAGTAGTTCTACGTTATGATCAAGACCTTGCGATACTAGCGTGAAATGCTAATAGCCAAAAGATAATGAAATAACTTTTCTCAATATTATCTTGTATTTCCTCCTCAAAACAAATATTACCTCCACTCAGAAGAAGAAGAAGAAACGCTTACGCTGTCAGGATTGATTACTTGCTCCAACGCTGTCGAATTGAATGATTCTACATTACGCTCGTGATCTTGAATTAGTACAGTGAAATAACAGCAAAAACGAGAGAATGAAGTAGTTCAAATTCAGCTCCAGATCTTGAACTTAATCCTCAAACCAAATAGTGCCTCGATCGATCGAGAGAGAGCTTATGATGCTCTTAACGATGTAGAATGAAATAATTCTACATCAAACTCTGAATCTAGCACTAGTACAGTGAAATGCCAACAGTGAAAAGAGAATTAAACAATTCTATATTCATTTCAAGCCCTAGAAATTCCTCCTTAATCCAATTAATGTCTCGATTCAATAAACGAGAAGAAGAAGAGAAAGAAGAAAATCGTGTTGCTCTTACGCTGTCAGGATAGCTTAGCTGAAACTCCTCCTCGAGCCTGTACTGAATCATCGAGAGATCATGAGTCACCTTGGAGAACAAGTTCGTTAATCCCTCGGCCGCTTGATGATGCTGATGAAGATGATCAATCCACATACTCTCTCTCTGCTAGGATTTTCGCGCTCTCTCAATTTGAAGCTCCCTCCGCGCCAAATGAAACTACATAACGCGATGGATACACTTACTTTCAGCCGCGTGTTATATTATATTCATTTTTGAAGGTTTAATTAATTTTAAAATTAGTCCCAATAATTAATTTATAGTTAACATATCTAAAAAATGATTAATATAAATAATGGTGTATTATTTCAACCGGCCTATTAGCTCAGTTGGTTAGAGTGTCGTGCTAATAACGCGAAGGTCGCAGGTTCGAAACCTGCATGGGCCATTTTATTTTATTTTATTTTAAAGCCCCATAAATAGGGCTTTAGAAGTAAATGCTTGGCTTGAAGGCCAAAACATGTCTGTTCAAAGCCGTGTGACTTTTAACACTCTGCCACCACCCAACGTCTTCAATGCCGCTTTAAAGAACACTACAATTCATCTGCCTCCTTTCTCTTTCATTCCATTTCCTTATAATGCTAAGCCAACGCTAAACCAAGGCCACTCCAAACTCCCTTTTATGCCCATTCATGGCTAAAGCGGCGTCGTGTTGGAAGATATGCTGCAACTATTTTGTTCTTCTGGGTTTGTTTGTTCCGGCCACGGCGGCCTTATCCTTCGGTTTCTATTCTGCCACGTGTCCTGCGGCGGAGTTGATTGTAAAGAATGCCGTCAGATCGGCTTCCTCCGAGGACCCCACCGTCCCCGGCAAGCTCCTCCGATTGATGTTCCATGACTGTTTCGTAGAGGTCAGTTGTTTTGGTAAAACGACGCCGTATCTTCTTCTCGTTGGTGCTTTATTAAATTTTGTCCTTTCGTTGGTGCTTTATTAAATTTGAACATCAATTTTTAATTTTTTTTATACAATCAAATTTAAATTGTTGTTAAAATCGTGAAACTTTTAACATTAATTCCATTTGAAAAAAAAAAAGGCTTAAAAATGAAAAAAAAAAAAAAAAAAAATAACAACAGAATGCTTAATAAACCCGCCTAACATTTAAAATTTGGATTAATTATTATTTACATTATTGCCCTTTATCATTACTGTGGGCGGGCCGGCGTAGTACAAACTTTTTGGCTGCATTTTTATTAAAGTTTATTTTCTTTTTTGCATGTTACCTTTCATAATTTGGTGGTTGTTTTAATAATGAATAAATGAATAAAGTAGTTCTTTATTAAATTAATTATTTAATTTACAGATAAAATTTTAATTTAATTTTTCTTTTATTGAATTGTGGTAAGAAAATTGTCAGGGCTGTGATGCTTCTATTTTACTTCAAGGAAACGAAACAGAACGAACCGATCCAGCAAATAAGTCTGTTGGAGGATTTGAAGCGATCGATTCAGCTAAAAGAACTCTAGAATTTTTTTGTCCTGGAATTGTTTCTTGTGCAGACGTCGTTGTTTTGGCCGCTAGAGATGCCGTTGAATTCGTGAGTTCTTTGTCCATTCATAAAAAAATATTTAATTATTTTTATGCACTGTTGTAAAACAATTTATAAGAAGAAATGACATGGCTTGTTTGAAATTTAAACACCATTTCAAATCTCTCAATTATCGTGTTCTTTATTGATTTCATCCTTGGCACAGGCCGGCGGGCCCTCCGTCGAAGTCCCAACAGGCCGACGAGACGGAAGGATATCCGCGGCCACAAACGTCCGACCAAACATCGTCGACACAAGCTTTTCAGTCGACCAAATGATGAGTCTCTTCTCATCAAAAGGGCTGTCGGCAGACGATCTCGTCATACTCTCGGGAGCCCACACAATGGGAACCGCCCACTGTAGCGCCTTCAGCGACCGCTTCAGAAAGGGTCCAAACGGGCAGATGACCCTCATCGACGCCTCTCTCGACGTCACTTACGCCAACGAGCTTATGCAGCGGTGCTTCGCCGGAGCCGCCTCCACCGTCGTCGTTGATAACGATCCGGCGACGGCGAATGTCTTCGACAATCAGTACTACAAAAACATTCTGTCGCACAAGGGGCTGTTTCAGTCGGATTCCGTTCTGATTAGCGACGGCCGGACCAGGGCCCACGTGGAGAGATTTGCGAAGGATCAGATTGGGTTTTTTGAGAACTGGGGTCAGTCGTTCTTGAAACTTAGTAGTGTTGGAGTTAAAAGTGGGGACGAAGGGGAAATTAGACTGTCTTGTTCTACTAATAATGTCTGAGAATCGTAAAAAATATATATGTATTATATTCAATAGTTATTAAAAATATAGTTATTATATTTTGTTGGATCATTTCGACCCAAGAAATCCCTATTTGGAAGTACTTGAACAGTCCAAAGAGAACAATATTTGTGGACTTGAACCTTTACTATGATGTCCACATTGGTTACCATTTATAAGGGTGTGGAAACCTTCCCCTAGCATACGCGTTTTAAAGCCATGAGGGGAAGCCCAAAGGGGAAAGTCCAAAGAGAACAATATTGGTTAACGGTGGATCTGAGCCGTCACAAATGGTATCAGAGCCAGACACTGAACGATGTGTCAGCCTTCTAGCTGTTTCCCGAAAGGGGGTAGACACGAGGCGTTGTGCCATTAAGAACGCTGGCCCCAAAGGAGGGTGGATTTGGGGCGGTCCCACATCGATTGGAGGAAGGAAAGAGTGCCAACGAGCAACGCTGGACTCCGAAGGGGGGTAGATTGTGATATCTCACGTTGGTTGAGGAGGAGAACAAACCACCATTTATAAGGATGTGGAAACCTTCCCCTAGCGTTTTAAAGCCTGGAGAGGAAGCTTAAAGGGGAAAGCCCAAAGAGGACAATATCTGCTAGCATGGATCTAGGCCGTTACACTTACAAATGGTATCAGAGCCAGTCAGTAGACGATGTGCTAGCGAGGAGGCTGAGCCCCGAAGGGGGTGGACACGAGACAATGTGCCAGAAAAGACGTTGGGCCCCAAAGGGGGTGGATTGGGAGGTCCCACATCGATTGGAGAAGGGAACGAGTGTCAGCAAAAGCGTTGGGGAGGAGAACAAAACATTCTTACAAGGGTGTGAAAACCTCTGCCTAGCAGAAGCGTTTTCAGAATCTTGAGGAAAAACTCGATAGGAAAAGCCCAAAAAAGACAATATCGACTAGTGGTGGGCTTGAGCTGTTATAAAATCATTAGGCATGTCTAAGAAAGAATATAAGCTCAAGGAGATGTATTAATTTAATATGAAGCATAATAACATTAATACAAGAATACAAATAATCCAATGTTGTGGGTTTCTTTGTATGGTATTGGATGGATGTTACTCAGTCTGTGGACTTAAAATAGGCACTAACTAGTTAAGGTATATATTCTCGACCAAAATGATACACCTATCCGAAACATTCTTACAAGGTTCTGCAGGTTCTGCAGCAGTTTAAGAATCTTCAGTCTAATTTCAATATTTAAACGTTCTGCAGCAAAATCCATGTAATTAAATCATATGCTACCTAGTCAAAACTAATTCCCTATCTCACACACCCAACCAGCACCTCATCTTTTGAATACTGATCAGCTAAAGTAAAATAACTTACAAAAACAATAATGTACAACTATAGACTTAACAATCCACATTGCAGGAACAGAACAGGAAAGACCCGGCCGACCCACCCCTGACTATTAAAAGCTCGAGGGCGAGCTCTTTGTTTAAGAGAGAATGGGGAGTGAATCGAATCCATTTTCGTTCTTGGTTGTCCACTAACGGCCACTCCTGGCTCGTTGCAAACTGAGATACAGACCGTTTCTCATCATCAATTTTTTTAATCACAACAGAGGATGAAACCACCGCTCGACCATAAGATCGACTACATAGTGCCATATCCTAGAGCAACTCATTATAGGCAGCAACTGAAAATACAGGCCAACTGCATATGAATCAACATATTCAAAATAAACTTCTTCATGATATGCGACCCTATGACTAGCTTGATCATAACAATCATCTAAAATTAAGAATGCAAAGAAGCCTTCTTTGACATGCTACTGAAAGAAAACTAGTATAGAATATCAAAGCCATAACATGTAGCCTGGTATTCATTTTCTTACGCATGCATGCATTTTCTAGGAACCCAAAAAGAGCCAAGGGCTTGCCATGCCCTCTATAGAGTTTCTGGTTCTTATATGCATTGTGCTACTGCCAACTATAAGGTCTAATCTGACATTTTCGGGCAGTGAAACCAACATAGGATTAACGACGTAACTCTACTACTGCCTTTCCTACCAAAAAGTTAACCCAACCGAAGGAAATTACATAAGGTCTGGAAAGGGCTATAAATAATCTCATTTCTTCCTCCCTTTCTTCCCCTGTTTCCGAGAGTGATAGAGAAATAGGAGTATATAATCACTTATTCACTATGAAACATATTCAATATGGAACTGTGGTAAGAGACCCGATATCAAAGGACATGTCATATATCCTTTGAAAAATCAGACCTAAGAGCTTTGCGCCAATCTTGAGTGAGTGCTAATCTAAGAAGAATATATACAGATCCACCAGGAACGTGTTTTAATAAAACCACACATCTTCTTATACAAGAAGAAAATTCAAAATCAATAGTTTCATGTATTTAAATGCTTAAAAAAATGTGTTTGATGCATTCGTCTCTCCAAATTCATGATTTTTGCCCTATATTCTTATGTATCTACTCGCGCACGTTCATGTAGCATTGCCCATTCCCTTGTGGAATTATGCATTCTAACTAAATAGAAGGTTATTCATACCTAAGAAGCACAGACACTAATTTGGCTATCATGTCCGTAGCCAACACATGACAAACACTTCGACACTCTAAATACTTGTTGAAATACTTGTTGAACATGTCCGTAGCCAACACATGACAAACACTTCGACACTCTAAATACTTGTTGAACATGTATCAGACACTTGTTAGATGCAATAGATATGTGTTCGACACCAGTTGTAGAAAGTCAATATAGGTCCATCGACGCGTATCAAACAATTGTTAAGTGAATGTAAAATGTGCGTCAATAGACTTTATCAACAAGAATCCAACATCAATTTTATAGTTACATCGATAATGAATAGTTAAGTACTGATGAGTGAAGGGGATAGTATGTCCAGTTTATAATATTTAATGATGATTATTAGTTTCTAATATTGCTCCTACAGATGGTTCACTGATAATTTACGGTAGATCCTTGAAAACATAGCGCATAGTTAGAGAACCTTAGCTATGATGGTGGTCAACTAGATCAAATGCAGAACCCTTAACCCAACATAATTGGATCGACATTAAAGAAATGATATGTTATATATCATTCTCAACTGTTAGGTACAGTAACAAGTAATAAAGATAGTACACGTTTTTCTGTTAGCATTGCAGCTATGAGCTTCGAAAACATTCAACAAATTAGGGTTTCACTAACCTTCTTTTCTTCTCTAAGTAAATTAAACTGTTCTTGAATGTGCTTTCCTCCTTTGAGCTCTGTTATCCGTCGCTAATCTGTAAATCCAGTAGCCCTAAAACAAAACTCCCAGATCAAATGATGAATTTCGCACTTGAAGCGACTTCTCATAGAATGGGAAAAAAAAAAAAAAAAAAAAAAAAAAGAGGTTGAAGTTGAGATTGAAGTACCAGCGCGAGAACATGAGCAGCAATTAGAATAACAACGATAAAGGGAACGAGATCGAGAATCCACGGCCTTGAATCGACCTGTTGCTGGTTCGCCATTACTGAAGAGATCGATCGCAACTATGACATTCCCTGGTCTGCAAACGAAAAATTCATATTCAATTGATTAGCCAGCTCGGAAGAGAAGGTAAAGCGAGTGAGAAATGAAACTTGGAGCAATCATGAACAAACCGTGGTGAAGAAGATGAAAGGTAATGGATCGTCGTTAATGGAGTCCGATCGGCCCAAGAAAGAGCCACATGTTTATACAATAATCCACCGCTGAATAAACCCCATCGAAATTCTAGACCTTCCTCTCAGATCCAAATCTTTCTGGGCGCTCTCATGTGACCCAACCAAAAAGTAAACAGGCCTGGTTTCAAACAGCCCCCACCATCCATCTATTGTAAATATTAATAATATTTCATTTAAATTGCCCATTCATATTTATAATTTGAGTTTAATTTTATTTATTTATTACTTCTTTTTTTTTTTTCTCTTAATTTTTTACCTCTTAATAAATAAACTGTACTCGTATTTATTATTTAATTTGGCTTCTACCGTTTAGTTAGACTTTGTAAACAAGTCAACTCTAAATTATTTTTTTACAAATTTATATAAATAAATCAAAAAATCCCTAAACTATGTTAACTATTAATTTAATTCTCAAATATTGATTTTTATTATTTTAAGATGTAATAAACATGTTAGTCTCTAATTACTTTATTAATTTATTTCAATAAAAAATTTCTTTAAACTTCAAAAACATTTATCGACCGTGACTAAATTATTAATATTAAAATTAAAATACTAAATTAAAGTAAATTTGAAAATACAGTAACTAGATTGATACAAATAATAAACCAACTGGATTTATAACCAAGTTTTGTCATTTTTTTTTAATATTTTTTAAAAAATTATATTATTATATTTATCTTTTATAAACTTCACTTAAATAAAAAATTATTAAAATGTTTTTAAGGTTTAGAATTTAGGGTTTATATTGGATTTTCAAAATTTATGACGGATGACATCCCGAAAACTTTCAAAGTTTCATGACCAATTACATTCCAAAGACTTTCTTAATTAAAAAAAAAAAAAAAATGCTAAGTCAAGTCATCTATCGTTATCGACCGTACAATGGTGATATCGTGAATCTCATTTTTTTCACTTTCAAACATGTAGATCAGGATGTCCACTAGTGCCCTTTATTTTGACTTACGATTTTAAAATATTTATAAAGTTTGAAGGGTATTATTGTAATTTTGAAATGTGAACCATTTAAAAAGAAAAAAGAAAACTATTTTTTTCTTCTGCATAAACGTCAATGCTTGTATCCAATCTACAATGTCTCTGTCGACTTCTTTTAATGAATTGTTTGAATGGTTTTCTGAACATATCTTATTTAATTAAATTAAAGCAAGGGATTGCTGCAGTTTGACTTTTTTGCCCTCCCGTAGGAATACACTGTTTTAATTTAAAAATAAAATTATTTCAACACGTGTGTTCACATTGTTTTGTTGCGTTTTTAATAGATATGAGATATTCATATATATGCTCGATTAATGAATTCACGTGAATAAATAGCAATTTAAACTAGACTTTTAGAATAATTAAGCGCATCTTAACTACTCCATTATACTCATATTTAACATGTTAATCTAAATATCTCGAACTAATTAAGATATTACCGTTTTCTATTCAAATATATATATTTTGCTATTAATTTTATGACCAATATGCTAAATATAATTAATTAAAAATTAGAATATTCGTTTGGTTTAATATTGATATATTGTCGTAAATTTTCCCGAAGATCAACTTTCGTAAAAAAAATTGTAAATTAACTAGCGATTAAATTTTGTAGCCAATTGACTAGACCAGCGGTATATAAGGGATGCAATTAGAATTTGTCACATATAAAAATAATTATTATTTTTATTATTTTGTTCTCGGAAAAAAAAGCATTATAGAGATGTGAGGGAAAAATTAAAAATAATTTATTATTGGGAAATATTTTGAATGACTCCGATAATTATTATTAATTTTTTTTCAATTGAGGTTGAAAAATTGATATCATGATTTGTTTTTAAAAGTTTATCGATTAAATTTTCAAATTTTAATTATCAATAAATTAGAGTAAAATAACATATTTATTATGGATTAAATTAATAAAAATACCGTTTTAAATGGCTATTTCGTCATTAAACTTTAACAGGCGTAGATGTTCCGTTACAAACCATTAATCTTCTTATTCGAAGTCGGCTTATCGGTAGAAGTGGTCACGTGCCACGTGGGCCGGTTTGGGTATTTTGAAATTACGATACCCTTTCTTAGTTGGTTGACACGTTGACTTGGATATCCATTGTTATTGTCTATTTGCTGACGTGCCCTTACCAGCGGGGCTGAAAAGAATATATCAAAAAAGAGGGACCATAAAGAAAGGAATTTCAATTCTATTATTTATTTTATAAGTTTAAATTAATTTATGATTTCCTTGGACGGAGTTTTGAAAGCTCAAATTTAAAGCCAGCTGGCATGGTAAAATATTACAGTAAAAAAAAATGTTATCTTCGCTCACAAGAGAAATGTTTATTAAAAAGGTAACTTTGTTGAATATGATAAAGCAGCCTGAAAGTGTGCAAGTAACTCCAGGTATGGAGACGTGTGCTTGGAGCGTAAGAATGGCTTAACGCTTGCTTCAAGTAATTATTTTCAATTCAATTAAGCAATCTAATCACAATTAATTATTGGTATAAGAGTTTAATTAATTTGATTAATAACTTCATTTATTTACCTCTTTTGGATGAAAATTAATGAGAAATTTGTTATAAATGGTCACCGCGCTATTAAATGCTTTGCAACATTAGAAAATGATAGTTATTTATTTATTTATTATTATTATTAAATAAAGGTGTAGGTTAAATAAGATAATTTAAAATAATTTATAAGAAAATTAATATTTAATATTTAAGTAAATAATTAGATTTATAAGAAAAATCATACCATAAAAAGTAGTATTTTAGAATCATATATTTATAGGTGTGGGAGTATTTCAAGACTTTTGAGGAATCTAGTCAGGTTGTCGGGTTGTCATTATTACTAAACGGTCACTTGAGCTTAACGATACTCTTCAAATACCAACAAATTGACTCTAAAACGACTTTTTGGTATTTTCTCTGATCGTCAAGCTCCACAATTCTCGTGAAAACTTGTTTACTTATTTTTCTGAAGAATCTGGTAAGAATGTTGGTCGAGCAAGGAGTCAAATTAGCTTGCCCTAAGGGGCCATACACACAAAGTCCTTTGACCAACACCTCGAGAGGTCAATCAATCAACATTGGGTTGACCCTTCAATAGGTTGACTTATGCTATTTAGACTATAACTTTGAATAGTCGGTCGAGCAGCTTTAGATGACTAACAACTCCAGTTTGACATCCCTCTTGCTATTTAGACGAGAACTTTGAATTGCGACAAAAATCACGTCAAGCCTCATTTTAAAGAAGGGAATTTTGTCTCGAAGTTGCTATATGAATCAACTTCGACCAATCCTTCAAAGGGGCTAGTCAACAATTCCCTCTAATTGACCATAATCAGTCGAGTGGCCTTGGGTCGACCCCTCATGATATCGACCAATCTAAAGTTGAGTTCTCAAATATTAGACGTTTTTTTGTTTCGAATTAGACTTTAAAATTTAATTCCATGTGCATAAATTTTGACATTTAATAAAATAAGAGAACACACATTTGAGTATAAATGTAATACCATATTTCTACAAGCGCACGGAAACAAAAGAAAAAGAATAATTTTTTTTTTAAAGAATAAATTTAAAGAGAAGAGAAATATAGAAATGTAGTCGAGGCTCACAGAACGAGTGGTGTACCGTCGTTGCATGTGCGCCACGTGTGAATCATGGGCCCGAGAAAGGACGGCCATTTCAATGGCGCTTCGAAAACTCTCACGGTTGCATTGACTCAGTCCAAGCGCGCGCGAGCTCAGCTCTTCAAATGGCGACGCGTAATTCCATGACCCCTTCTCCTCCTTTTTTGGTACCACCAAATAACAAACTCCTTTTTATTTATTTAATCATTATTACCGAAATAAATACCATATTTCTACCAAACAAAAAAATAAAATAAATAATCAAATAAATAATAATAATAATAATTTTTAATTTTTAATTTTTAATCTCCCCTAACAAACTAAAAACCCAAAAAATGCAACAGAATCCTCCCCTGTTTTCCCCATTCTCCGTCGACTCGTCGTTTCTCCTTTAAACGCTCCTTGAGCTCTCTCTTCTTTTCCTTTTTCTTTTTGCTTCCATTTCTCTTTCCCCTTCTATTCTTCTACCTCCTTCCTTTACCAGGTATTCTCTTTAGAATCTCATCTCTCTCTGTATTCGTGTTTCTTGGTCCAACTTTCTTGATTCATTCCTTCTATGGCTGTAATTATTGCTCCAATTATCGTCGTTATCTGATGCCTTTAACGATTTTTCTCGATTTCACATGGCTTGCTTGTTCTTGGAGATATAAGATCCGTGTTATTGCATCATTTTTGTGGCTTCTTTTTGTTTATTGTGTAATCTGAAATCGGGGAGCTGTGGATATAATTGCAGATTTGAGTTCATGTTCGGTGGCTCCACTGTCATGTGAGGAGCGGCTTATTCCTTTCGCATCTGTGACCATAGCTTCAAGATATTTCTTGTTCTTTTCCATTTTGATCGAAGAGATTGGAGCTGGGCATCTTGAGAGCCTACACAATATGGGCTATCTGAATCCAGTCTTGTCTTGTTCGAGCCAGATTCATGCTGCTGAGGAGGCTCCTGTAAGCGGCGGGGGACTAAGGTAGATTCGGAGTTTTTTGTCCGTTAATCTGCGTGGTGGATCCAAAGCTGTTTGGATTGATAAAAGTATTCTTGTTTGGATTTGTGGTTTCGGTTTAATTTCAATGTCGAAAGAACAGAATCTTGTTGAAGTTTGGGCGTGCTTTCTGAGGAATATTATTCCTTATTGTGTAAGCGATTGTTGGAACTACCCTCAATCGATTGGGTTTGTAATTTAGCGATGTTACCTTTAATTTTAGATTCATCGATGATAATCTGCTCTGGAATTTATGCATAGTCCCTTCTTCAATTGAATTTTATGACTGATTGGCAAGGGTAATGATGATTTGTAGTACCTCCGGTTCCAGTTGAATGAATTAATCTCAATTTCATCGGCTGTGGAGGTTGAAGTTTTTCTTATGGTTGTTAATAGTGAAGTTGATTGCGCTGATGGATACTTTTGATTGTACGGCGTTTTGGATGGTTTCTTTAATTTCTCTACGTATTTAAGGATTTTATTGTTTATTCTCTCTGATTGATTTTCATTGCGAGGCATTAGAATAAAATACTCGGTATACTGAAAATACCATGTGTCCTTAATGGCAGTCAGAATGGAAAATTCAGCTACGGATATGCTAGCTCTCCGGGGAAGAGATCTTCGATGGAAGATTTTTATGAGACACGTATAGATGGCGTGGATGGAGAGATAGTTGGTCTATTTGGTGTTTTTGACGGTATGACAATTTCCCTTTCTCTCGTATTTTGTATTGCAGCTACCGTGGTTATTGTGAATGAATTTTGTTTCTGGTGATATACAGCTACACTTTGATATGGTACTTAATCTCCCTCCTGTGGAAGTTTTTGTCGTATGATATTCAATCTACCAATATGTAGACTAAAATACTTCCAAATTTTGTCTTCGATTCCTCCTTATCTTGCATCGAGATGATTCTTATCAAAACACATGCACAAGTGTTTGGCCTGCTCCCTTTTGTGGCTGCTCTAATATCTGGTAATTTCAAGGAAAAACTCCAAAAGTTTCCTTCTTGTTATGTCAGGTCATGGGGGAGCACGAGCTGCAGAGTATGTGAAGCACAATCTTTTTAGTAATTTAATCAGCCATCCAAAGTTCATATCGGATACCAAATCTGCCATAGGTATAGCACATGTTTTTTCTTTGATTTTCTCGTCTAAATAATTGTTCTTTTATCTCTAATCAAATGACTGTTTTTTGTGCAGCTGATGCCTACAACCACACAGACACAGAATTTCTGAAGTCTGAAAATAATCAAAACAGAGATGCTGGATCAACCGCTTCCACTGCCATTCTAGTTGGTGATCGCTTACTTGTTGCAAATGTGGGTGATTCTAGAGCTGTTATTTGCCGGGGTGGAACTGGTGAGGATGTCCATCTCTTTCCATGTTGTTTTAAAGATGGTTGGTCATGTTTTGAATAAATTTGTTGCTGCGAAGTTTCATGGCTCAATTTTCTTTTAAGTCATATTTTGACAGACCACTTTGGTTCTTGGAATTTCCTCTTTTAAGTAATGTGATCCAATTTTTTATTTTATAAGAAGTTGGAATAACATAAACAATTATGGCATTGCTGTCATAGAATTTGTATAGATATAAAACCAGATCTGATTGCTTGAATGATGCCTTTACTTGTAAACTTGAGGAGAGCCTCTAGTTTACAAGCAAAGTCTCTTGATCATTCTCCCTCCCCCACACCATGGTAATGGAATTTGACGACATTAAAAGAAATATTCTTGCTTTTAATATAACGTGTCTGCTTCTTGCTGCTCTCATTACCTATCCGACAATACCGTTGATTATACTTAGCTGGCTGGGTTTCTGCTCTTGCCAGTTGAGGATTTGTTGAGTGATTAAATGCTCACAATTCTTTTCCCAACATTTTCAATTATTTACCCTATTATCTTTGGTATCATATAGCCATTGCTGTCTCTCGAGATCATAAGCCTGACCAAACTGATGAGCGACGACGAATTGAGGATGCAGGAGGATTTGTGATGTGGGCTGGTGAGGTTATCACATCCTTAGCATGACATTGAAGTAAGAATGGTTGTTTCATTTTAATCACTGGAAGTTGCATGAGCAGGAACTTGGAGAGTTGGAGGTGTTCTTGCTGTTTCACGTGCATTTGGTGATAGGTTGTTGAAGCAATATGTTGTTGCTGACCCTGAAATTCAGGTACATTTTACGTTGTCTGTAGAGTAAATTGGCATGACTATTCATTGAGTGGCTGTTGCTTAGCTGCATTATGATGAAAATAAAGAAATATCAGGGCAATAGTATTTTACCTAAAACTTGCTTTAGTTTCATCTGAAGCTCAGAGTTCACTAAATTATGACTCCTTTTAATCTCTTCGTTCATATCCATCTCTGCAATTTGAGAAGAACAAATATGCTAAGATATAAAAATACAATCAGAATCAGAATCTTTAGCCAAATATTGCACTGATGAGACGTTCAAATCTTCTAATGACATAACTTGCTCAATGACTGAGGTATTGTTTTAAAAGAGTTGAATTGTTTTTCCTTGTTGGTTTGGACTTTGGCAAACTTACACTCAAAAGGAGGATTGTGGCTTGTGATTGATATTAGTAGATATATGTGCTTTTGAATCTTTCCAAGGATGGATGTGCTATCATTTGCTTTTCTCATTACAAGTCTCTCTCATGGGAAGATGTCACATCTCTAAATCTAACATACAAATTCATTTTGTTACCGGTGTTGAACTCCACGATTGTACTTGCAGGAGGAAAAGATCGATAGCTCGCTCGAGTTTCTTATACTTGCCAGTGATGGACTATGGGATGTCGTCACTAACGAGGTTTGCAACTTCGTTCATTTTATTTATCATCAATATACAACTCTCAATTTTGATGCCAAACTGTGAAGTTTACCAAATGTTCAATGTCTTTTTCAGGAAGCTGTTGCTATGACCAAACTAATTCCGGACCCAGAGGAGTCAGCTAAGAGGTTGATGCAAGAAGCATATCAAAGAGGTAGTGCTGATAACATTACGTGCGTCGTAGTCCGTTTCTTGGCAAATCAGGGAAGCCCCTCTCTTGCAACTTCTGGGTAAGAACATCTATCCTAGCTTCGCCTTCTGGTTCTGACTCGTCTGTCCGAAAGTCTCGACTGAACTGCAGTAGTGTTTGGTGGTTCGTAGTCGTTGGGAATTCCAGTAACATTGTTGATTGTACTTATAAAAAAAACAAAGGATGACATAACGAGAAGTTATGAGGTTGGTTTTGTGCAGTACGTGCTGCCTACATAGTCCTAGCTTGCTGCGTGGAGGTGGTAGAAATGTTCATTGGTTAAATTGTAAAGAGTCTTAATGAAAGTGTTAATTGTCTGTGTTGTGTTCAGCCCTTTTTAAGGTAATTTCCATTTTCCCTTTTTGGTTAGGTGTGAATTTTCTTTTATTTTCTTTTCTTTTTTAATAGAATAACTTGGCAATACAGTTGTATCAACTTTCTGTTCTGGTGAGGGAATTTTATCCCACAAAAGCTACTAATTATTATTATTATTATTATGATGGTTGTCAGGTTAAATATATGTTTTAGTCTTTTAGTTTCTATTTTTTATTATGTTAACGTTAATATGAGTTAATAGAAATTTAGAAGCCAGTAATTATGATTGAATAATAACATTTTACCCAAATTTTAGAATAATTGAAAGAAATTGGTTTTTTTTTTTTTTTTTTTTTTTTTTTTTTTTTTTTTTTTTT